GGGGAGTTGGATATCCGTCATCCCATTCCACGCTTCCGAGCATGAGAGTTCCACGGCCGGCAAGGTACCTCAGTCCAAAACAATCCGAGGCCGCTGGGATGGAGGCACGGGGAGCTGGACGTCGTGAGCTCGGTTCCTGGCTGGGTGACCGCGGCCACTAATGTTTAACCTGCGCGCGCAGCGGCCGAGTAGCGCCGCTTGGAACCACGCTGCCTCCCGCGGCTCCCGGCTGGATTCCAGGCATAGTTTTCCGGGGAGGCCTGGGTCACCTTGGGGGTCGCCCAGAGCAGGGACTGGTGATTTGAGGTCTGGGAGGGATGCCACGTCTTCACTCACCCCACCCACACCCACAGGTCCAGACTCACCTCATCTCCAGCAGTGCAGTCCGAGGATGCTGCCAGTCACGCGGACGCAGCTAGTCGAGTGCAGGGATCCTGCACGCCTCTGTAGTAGCTCAGAGCCCAGGGTCTCCGGTGCCTCTCACCCCCACCCACAGCAGAGGCGGAGCCTCTCCCCAGCGCCCGGGAACAGCTATTTTTAGAGCTGTAGGGAAAAGGGGAAAGGAGGGACTGCCTCTTTGACTCCGTTAACAAAATCCAGCGTCCAAGTTCGCAGGCCTTGGTGGGCAGCAGCAGGACAGACTCCTTTGTCGCCATCTCTTCACTTCCACAACTCACCCACGGCAAAGGCAAACTAGGGCAGCTGCTGCTGTCCCTCACCCTCGGCAAGCATCTCTGCAGCGCGCCAAACTAAAGGGATTTGGCCAAGGCCCACATTAGGAGAGACTTCAGAGTGCTCGGGTTTGGTCAGATGGCAACAGCTTTCCGGATCCCTTATCCGGATCCCAGAAAGCTGGGACAGGAGTTGGGGGGAATTATTTTCTCTCTCCTGATACGGACCCTGCTTCCTTCTCCTTATGGCTCATTAATTTTAAGTTGGAGGTGGGGGTTGTGTCTTAAGGCCTTGCTCTACAGGCCAAGCTCTGCATCTTGGGACGGCAAGAATGAAAGCACTGGAAATAAGTGTTGGCAATGGTGGAGAGAAACTCAAATATTTGGGCATTGTTGATGGGATACAAAATGGTATTGCTACTGTTGAAAACAAAATGGGGACTCCGTGGAGAAGTTACTTTGGGTTGCCATGTGATCCAACAATTAACGTGTTGTGTCTTGAATTGGAAAGATTCCCATAGGCTTTGAATGTCCCCAGGGAGTGGCGCTGTTTAAAAGGATTGGAAGGATTGGGAGGTGTCTTGTTGGAGGAAGTGTGTCCCTCCAGGTGAGCTCTGAAGTTTCAAAAAGACCATGCCAAACCCAGTCTCTCGTTCTCTCTGCTTTCAGATCAGGATGGGTCTCTCAGCTACTTCTCCATCACGATGCCTGCCTTCTGTCATCCCCTCTGTGATAATGGACTAAGCCTCTGAAACTGTTAAGCTCCCAATTAAATGCAATCTTTCGCAATAGTTGCCTTGGTTGTGGGACACTGGTATTTAAAATAGCACTATCGGGCTGGTAAGATGGCTCAGCAGGTAACAGGCTTTGTCACCTAGTCTGATATCCTGAGTTGAACTCCTATAACCCACACAGTGGAAGGAAAGCAAAATCTCCGGAAAGCTGCTTTCTGATATTTGAGCATACACACACACACACACACACACACTGTAAAATAAAATACTAGTGTTATTCAAGACAGCCAAAATGCAGAAACAAGTGCCCATTGACAGCTAATTGGATAAGCAACACGTAGTTTATACATATAATGGACTATCATTCACCCTTAAAGAGGGAGGAAGTACTGCGAAGTGTTATAACATGCTATAACATGAATCAACTTTATCTTTGTCTGTTTAGACACCTGTTTCCTGACGGACCCACAAAAGGGTCTAGTCGTCCTTGCAGATTCCTCTAGAAGGGCACTGAATCCAGCTATGAGGTCATGATTGGGACTCATGACCTGATCCCTTTCTGGAGTCCCCGTTCATAATAACATCACTGCTGTTGTTTGGTTAAGTGTCCCCAAGTCCATGTGGTAAAGCCATGGGCCCTAGCATGGTACTGCAGAAAGCTGGTGGGACATTGAAGAGATGGCGCCTAGCTGGTAGACGTCAATGTATTAGGTAGAGACCTTGAATGTGACAGTGAGTCCCCAGATCCTGCTTTCGTGCCTGGGGTGAGAGATTTCACTCTACTAAAACAGATTACCACAAGCCAAAGCAATGGGGCAAACAACTCTGCCCTCTGTAGAAATCTCTAGACCCGTGAGCAAAAATAAACCTTCTTCCTTTTATATGCTGATTTTTTTTGGGGGGGGGGGGTGTTAGTTTTTCAAGACAGGGTTTGTCTGTAGACCAGACTGGCCTCAAACTTACAAAGATCCGCCTGTCTCTGCCTCTTGAATGCACCACCACTGCCCAGCCATTATATACTGATTTTTATATTGACGAGCTAACAGATAAGCAAAGTAAACAAGCTCATCATAAAATGAAAGAGGCTTGCCGTCCACTTACAAGATGGCTTAGGGTTTTATTGCCGTGAAGATTATCTTAACACACCGTGACCACAGCAACTCTTATAAAAGAAAACACTTAATCGGGGCCGGCTTACACTTCAAAGGTTTAGACCATTAGCATCATGGCAGGAAGCATGCCAGCATGTAGGCAGACATGGTGCTGGAGAGGTAGCTGGGGTTCCACATCCACCTTGGCAGGCAGCAGGAACAGGAAGTGACACACTGGACCTGGCTTGAGCTTTTGAGACCTCAAAGCCCACTCCCAGTGGCATACTTCCTCCAACGAAGCCACGCCTTCTTCAACAAGGCCACACATACCTCCTAATTGTGCCATTTTATGGGGGCCTGTGGGGATCATTTCCATTCAAACCACTGCACGGGACAGAACGTAGGAGAGTGGTTGCCAGGGTCAATAGAGATGGGAAGTAAGAAGTTGTATAGTGATATTTTATTTGTGCTTTAATAAATAAAGCTTACCTAAAGGTCAGAAGGGAAAAGCTAAACCACTGGAGGTTAGGCAGTGGTGGCACACAACTTTAACCCCAGGATTTGGGAGGCAGAAGCAGATGGATCTCTGTGAGTTCAAGGCCCCCCTGGGCTATACAAGATCAATGCAGAAAACAAATCCAGGTGGTGGTGGCTCACACCTTTAATCCCAGTACTAGGGAGTCATAGGCCCTTAATCGCAGCACTAGAGGGAATAGAAAAATGAGAGGAGAGAGAGGCTTAGTTTGTTTAGTCTGCAGTCACCCACCCTTGGTAGAGGTAAGACTTCTCTTGTGGCTTGGCTGCCTTGTGTTTCTGCTTTTCTGGTTAGACCCCCCAATATCTGTCCCTGGTTTTTATTATCTGTACCACAGAGTTGCCCTTGATGAGTGCAGAGCTTCAGCTGGGAATGGTGAAAAACTTCCAGGTATGCCAGCAGTGATTGCATGGCAATATGAGTGCTTAACATCCTGAATTTTACACTAAAAATGGCTAAAACAGCAAACTATATTAGATAGATGATAGATAGATAGATAGATAGATAGATAGATAGATAGATAGATAGATAGATAGATAGATAGATAGATTTTATCACAGATTTTAAGTGTGGGAGGAAATGGTGATCAGAAACCAGGAACAAATAAGAATATCTATATTATGTCCTTCAGTAACAAATATTGCTCTTCCTCCCTTCTACCTGAGAGCAAAGTATCCAGGCTTTAAAATCAAGGACAAATCCATATCCCTCATCCCCAAACTGTGTAACTCTGAGAAAGTCACTATAACCTCTCTGACTTTCACTTTTTTTTTTTTTTTTTTTTTTTTTAGCTGTAAAGAAGAAAAAGTAAACTCTTAACCCTCAGGGTTGTAAATGAGCCCCAGGATCTCTAGGCTCAGCTCAGGCCTGGGTGGTCCATGGTATGTCCTTCTGGGCGCACACTGAGCATGCTTGGCTATTGGCTTCCCAGCTGTCTTCTCATTGTAATCCTCAAAGTTTATGGAAGTTAGCCAAAAGTACCTGTGTGTGGTTTCCACCAGCCTCAGTTTCCCTGTGAATAAATTGGTTGCCTTCCTTTGCTAAGGCAAACTCGATGTGGTAGTAGACACGGCAGGAATGGTGCTGGAGAAGCAGCTGACAGCTCTATATCCTGATCCACAGGCAGCAGGAAGAGAAGAGTGAGTCACTGGATGTCAAAAGCCCACCCTCAGTGACCCACCTCCTCAAACAAGGCCATATTTTCTTTTTTGGTTTGTTTTGTTCTCATGGTGGTTTTTTGTTTTTTGTTTTTTATTTTTATTTTTGTTTTGAGACAGGGTTTCTCTGTGTAGGTTTGGAATCTGTCCTGGAACTCACTCTGTAGACAGGCTGGCCTTGAACTCACAAAGAGTCGCCTCCCAGGTGCTGGGATTAAAGGCCTGTGTCACCAGGGCCCAGCTCCAGATAAATTCCTTATGCAGATAGCAATCAATACAAAGACTCAAAGCAGATCAAAATACCGAAAATAAGTGACTGTTGGGTGTTCATTCCTAAATGTGACATATATATCATAACTCCTTTATCCTCAAGACTCAGGGAACATCACAGAAGAGAAGATGGAAAGATTTTAAGAGCCAGAGGTCAGGGAAGATTGCTGGGAACTAACATCTTCTGGACAGAACAGGGCCAAAGAACTCATGGGTCCACAGGAGCTGTAGTCAGTGATCCAAGACGGCACAAGATCAACCCAGTCAACCGCAAGAGAAGGAAGGGACTCATGAGGCCCTACCTTTACCTGAAGAGCTATTGTCAGTCGGTGGATGCTGAGACAGGGAGAGTCAGCATTCTTCAACAGTATGGCCTGTGGCAGGTTGCCCGTGTTTCAGTGGGTAGTGTCCTACAGTCATGTACAGACAGGCAGCACTAATTCGATATAATTTAAATGCACTATACTCATATGTGAAATTACAAAAGAATATTTTTTTAATTTAAATAGTACAATCAAAAAACTGAAAAATAGCAGCATAATAATAAAATATTAGTGTTCTAAACATACAGAGTGGTTACAGATCAATAAAAATAGAAAAATATCCCAACATTTAAAAAATGCTATTATATACTACATAGAATAAGAAAATATAAATCCCGTTAAACATAGGTAACAATCAACCTTTTCAAAATGAACAAAAAAATTGCACTGTTCTGTTTTCCTCAAACCACTAGAAGTGTTTTAAATTCACCATTTTCTACCATACAGATGGTATTCCTTACAAGTTGTTAATTTATTTTGCACACTTACTAATCAAAAACTCATTTTACTGCAAAACAAGGGACTCTATAAACATCAAAGTATCATTATTGCATCAAAAAAATCCATACAAGTAGAACCCAGCCTAAGGAATCTCACATGACATTGCTGTTGACTATTTGGTCTCACTGGAAATTGTATATATGTTTGAGAAGTTCAGAGGGTTTTCACTCAACTCCCTCAAACGTCTGTGTTCAGGGTGCTTAGCTGGAAAGCATTCTTCAGAGACAGCAATAAGAGCCGACCTGCTCCTTCCCAACAGGGCTAACATGGAATTCTCATTTGCGAAACACTGAACACCAGGGTTCACTGTCTCAGGACACAAAGAGAGAGCATCATGGTGGGGGAGAGGGACGCACAACCTGACTGGGGAGTCAGATGTCAGAGACTACAGCAAGTAATGGAATACATAAATCCAAGGCAGGACACAGGACTTGTGAATGTTTTGGGTTGTTTGGTCTCTTTACATGTGTGTGTGTGTGTGTGTGTGTGTACATGTACACAACAGCACACACACGTGGAGGTCAGAGGTCAACTTGCAGGAGCTGGTTCTCCTTTCTACCACATGAGTTCCAAGGCTCATATTCGGGCCATCAGGCAGCAAGTACCTTTGCCCAGTGAGCCATCTCCCCCAGTTTCTAAATAAGACTATCAGAGCCATGATTCTTGAAAAGGAAAATTTAAGAATAAAAGGCAACAGATGGATGTAGAGTCGCATAAGACATCATAATTTTGTGTTTGGAAAAAAGTATAAATTTTTCCATAAAGCAAACAACCAAGATGGAAATTCTAGAAAGCCTTGGTTGATAACTGCTTACAGAAAAAAAAATCAACAATATTAATTTTCATGCCTCTTGAGAGGCAGAAGTGAATTTATTTGTATTTTAATGGAAAAATAAAAATCACATGTGTTCATGGTATACAGCGTGATGCTTGGAGGAAGTCAGTTTTCATCTGAATTTGGGAAGAAACAGATTTCAATTGCTCGAGCTCATCATATGCTCTGAAGCAACAGCTGTGATAGGCCAGATGTGTGCATCGGAAAGTGATGGTGTGTGGAAGGCAGGCTGGGGATGGGAGGAGACGTTCCTAAGGACAAGGGGCCAGTAGTTAGGACACATGTGTTGAGACCAAGACTGACTGGTTCACCCTCATCTTTGGCCCCTAAATTAGCTCTTGGTACCCAGGAAAACCGATCAGTATTTACTGACTTAATGGATTAGTGAACGCTGCTGTAATTTACACGTGGGCTCCTGTGTTTTAAGCTCATTCTCCCGTGTGACAATGTGGAGGGGTGGTAGAACATTTGAGAAGAAGGGGGATGCAATGAACTTATGGGAAGTTTCCATCATCTGAAGGAATAAATGTACCTTTGATGGGATTGCAGTTAGTTCTTACAAAAAGAGGAAGCCTGCGCTGGCCATGGTGGCACACAGCTGTGATCCCAGCCCTCTGAGGCTTAGGAAAAAGGACCGAGAGCTTGAGGCCCAACCGGGATAGACAGCAAGGCCTCCCCCCTGATCACTCCCATGGGGGTGTGTGCAAAGGGCCTGGTTCTTCCACTTTTCTGGCTTCCCAATTCACCATGGGACCTCTTCTCCATGTGTCCTGCCACTGTTATGCCCTCTTCCAATGAGGGCTTCACTAGAGGCCAAACAGACTGAGTCATCTGAGTCAAGATTCCAACCTCCAAATCAAAGAGATAAATAAATCTCTTTTCTTAATAAATTTACCACTTCCAGTATTTTGTTATAGCAGCAGAAAGTGGATTAATACAGATGTCAAAGTCAAGGGCTGGGTATGATGCTACACACCTTTAATCCCAGCCCTCAGGAAACAGAAGCAGGTAGATCTCTGAGTTGGATGCTATTCTGGTCTACATCGTGAGTTCCAGGACAGCCAGAACGGCATCAAGAGACCTTGTCTCAAAAATCAAATCAACAACAACAACCATGTTCCTTTCATTCTGATGGGTGTTAAAATTAATCTCACAATATTAAATAAAATAGAACATAAACAGACCTATTAGCTAGCTACCCCACCAGCCTGTCTTGCAGCTACAGTCTAGCCAGGGAGATGCAAGGGTACATGGTATTTGCACTTTTAAAGTACTTACATAAAGGCTTTATGAAATGCATTTTTTTTTTCTTTTCTCCTGCCATTCTAGTGTCTGGAATAACCAGATGATGGGCTGGAGGTTCAGCAGCCACATGGAGCTTGGACTACACACGCTAGGACACCAAACAGGAAGATTCAAGCCTAGGCTTCCCATGGCCACTGTTAAAATACCTACCTGTCCTAGATTACCTGCCTTCACACTTGCTGTCCCACCAAGGATAAACAAACTTCTGTGTCTACAGCCACTTTTCGTTGGAAGTATGCTGCTGCCACCGGAGAAAGTTAATCCTGAAGATATGGATTCGCTCCTAGCCCTAGAGACGATGGAGACCTAGTGAGAGTGGGGCAGCCCAGAAGTGTCCAGTTCCCCATAGCAGTAGGAGCCCTCTGTCTGTTAACCCGTACCTGGCTCCCTGGACACTGCCCCTTTTGCGCCTTGAATCAGAGCCCTGTAAGTTTTAGGACAGTGCTTTCGATAGAGATTTTCTGCCAGGGTGTTGCTTCCTCGAACCACAGTCCTGCCCTCTTGATTCATGTAGTTCCACAAATGCAGGGCATAGGAGTTGTTGAAGCTCGGCTCTGTATCCCACACTTGGTAGTAGAGCCTCCACTCGGGATAAGGGATAGGGTAAAATCTCTGGGGATGGAGGAAGGAGATATTCAGACACTTCAGGTCACCCAGCTCTTGGAAGTCTTGGAGTTTGCACCACATCTTTAACATCCTTGTCATCAATTTGGGACCTTGGTTGCCCCAAATGTGTGAGTTATAGTGCTCAACAAAGTTCTCCATGCAGGCCCACAGAAAGGGGTGGTGGGGGAGGAACCCAAACACCCCATTACTGGAGTGCTGGGAACCCTGGGCTGCCAAGAAGTTCTCCTCGGGGATGGGCCTGATAGAGATGACATCGGTGTCCATGTAGATGCCCCCGTATTTCCAGATGATAGCCAGGCGGGATGCATCCGAGCTGACATGGAGCCAGTGTTTCTCCTTACTGCTGTTGACCTATGGGAACAGGTACAAATGAGCCCGCAAGCAGTTAAGGGAGGCTAGGAAGGACCATAACAAGGTAGAGTCCCCAAAATTTATTTGACTGCAAGCCAAACTTTACAAATTTCTCAACCTACCTTCACCCTCCAATTTCCCCTGAAGTAAAGAGTTTGCAGCAATTGGTATCAATGTAAAAAAATTTTAGCAGCTATTGAACATTAAAAAAAATGGGTTTTCTTTCATCAAAGCAATGGAAAGATAGAGGCAAAATTCAGCAGGAATTTCACAGTGAACAGTGTGAGTCTGTCTTCCATGTGGGTGACAATAACCATAAAGGTGAAGCTGAGAAGGGTGGATTTTTTTTAAGTCCTCAAAATGTTGAAGACTGATATTTTTAAAAATAAATAAAAAATAAAAACAAGCTAGGAAACTCGGAAAGAAAATCAATACACTAGTTGAGGAATTGGGGGAAAGAAAAAGAATTTGCCCCTGCCTGAACACATGCCTTTGTTTGCTTGAAAGTTCCTTCAGTGAAGTTTGCTGAGGACCTATTTACTACACAGTGCTTGGTGCATAGTGTCCTTGAACAAACAGGAACAATCCCCCTGGGAGGAGATCGATAATAAACAAATATATACTGTATTGGGTGTTGATAAGGATTATGAAAGGAATAAAAAGACCAGTGGGGGGACTATAAAGGGATGAGAGAGCACAGAATGTTACATTAGGTTCCAGCCGAAACTTGAATGTTGTAGATGGGTGCGCCTGCACTGTGAAAACATCTGGGAGAAAGGTCTAAGCTGGAGCCGTCAGCAACTGCAAGGGCCCCAAGGCAGAAGAAGCATGTTGACCATGAGGCAGAAGCGGAGTGGAGGGGGAGGGAGAGGGACAGGCAATGAAAAGAGAGTTGAGTACGGAAAAGGGAAAGATCATGTAGGTGATATCTTCATGGGACCAAGCTTTGAAATTATTTGGCAGGTTGAACAGAAAGGGGTTTTCCAAGGGTCACTTTAACTGAGATGCAGACAAGAGTCTGGGCCAATGAGGGGAATGAATGGGGACAGAAGCAAAGAAGCAGGCGAGGCACTCCTTGAGGTAATCCAGCCTTGGACAAGGGTGATAATCTGGTGGGAAGGAGAGAAGTGATCAGGGATCATATTCCAGATAAAAACAGGTCAGCCTTCGCTGTTGGGTAGAATGGTGGGTAAGTCCATAGGAAAGAATCACTGTAAATGCTAAAATACAAGCCAAACAGAAGAGGAACCCAGAGGAATAAGAATAAATCAGTATAAATCATAGTGTTCCCCTTTGGCATGGAAAGATTTTGAATAAAAAACCAAATAAGTTTTTCAGAATTTAAGTATATCAAGTAAAAGATTAAATGAAGGTCTTTGGTTCTGACTTTTAAAAATGAGTTGAAACTCTACTATGAAGAATAAAAGCAAGCTAGCAAAAGCTTTGTTAAAAAAAAACTCGCATTTTCTGGAAACAATCCATCATCATTTACAGTTGCGGAAACCTCAGAAACAGTTCATAGCTGGCGATCATTCTGAGCACTTTATAATCTGCACAGATCCCCAAGACGAAGGGCATGGTCATTCTACCTTTCAAACGAGGAACTGAAGGATCGAGATGCTCCATCGCTTGTCCTCAGGTACCAGCTGAATTTGAACCTGAGCCACCTGTCATCAGATAGTCATTCATGCAAAAGAAACTACATTTTGATAAAAATCAGCCTAACTTGGGAACTTAGGGGTTGTGACGGAACTAAGAGACAGAGAGCATCAAAGGACTTAGAAAAGCAGAAGAACCTCCTGCCTGGATGTGAGCATTAGTCTGCCATCCGCCGAAGACGGGGTGAGTGGCAGAAAGAGGACTGAGAACGATGTCCAGGCTGATGCTGGACATCTTCGAGGGCTACAACTACCTATGGGGTTCGTAAAGCAAACTCAGCAGCCCTTAGGAAATGATGGCACAATGGACGCTAACAGGTGCCACACACGCACACGCCCCGTTTATCTCCTGTGGAGGCCCAGCTGGGACAGACCATGTCATGACCCAGTTCCCTCAAGGGTATCATGGCATGAATGCTGTAGCTACACACCCTGGCACAGAACCCTACAGACCACACTGGAGCAGACACCTAAGGGCTATGCATCGCAGGGCCCACTTTACTCCTAAAAAAAATCTAGGTCCATCTTAGCACAACCCGAGCTTTGCTTCAAAGGATTTTGGTTCCAAGAAGTCGTTTATCCATTACACTGAAGGAGAGTTCTACATAGGGCTGAAGTTTCCTTAGTTCAGAACCATAATGAGGCTTTAGTATTCCTCCCGAGTGATTCATCTGTGAGAAAAAGACAGAGTTTGCAGCATCCCCCAAAATAACATGCTTTGAGATTTCTTTTTCCAAGGTTTAGAGAACAGTCTAGCCCAGGTATGGGAAAGATTCTGCAATCCTAGGGCACGGACTAAGCTGTCTGTCCCGTCTATCCCTGGCACCCACCTGCCTTCCTGGCCTGTTCTATCCCCTGCTGCTCCTGGGACAGTGACACCTACCTTCCAGGAACCCTGCTGCTGACAACTGCCAAGACTAACATATGGACACTTAATACATTTGAATTGATCCACTTCCTCCTGGCCAGTTCCAATTTGATATTTACGGGCTCTTAGAACAGATGGGACATTGGCATCTAAAAGTCACTGGAGATCAAAGTGATAATGATCCCAGAAACTTCCCTCAATCTCAGCCACTGCCAACCTAATCTATAAGAAGCGTTCCCCTGGGGGTTACAGCTTAGTCTGACAAGTGATAGCAACTAGATTCAAGCCTGCCAACCACACACCAACACACCAGAACCCCGCTAATGAGGCAAGACAGGGCAGGGGAGGGAAAGGGCTTCTTCTCTTTTTATGAATAGGCTATTATTCCTTTTATTAACAGGCTAAATAATTACTGCCCCCAAGATAGCAGGCCCTGATTCCTGGGAACCTATAAATATGGGGAGAGGATGTTTACAGATATGATAAAGTCAAGGATATTGAAACGGGGTGATGATCCTGGATCATGCTGTTGAGTCCTTGAAAAATATCACAGATGTCAGTCAAAGAATGGGGTGGACGGAGACTGTACCCACACAGAGGTAAAAAGGGGTTTAAAGGAGGAGGCAGCGTAGATGGATGGGATACAAGCCAAGGAGCGGCTTGGCCACCAGAAGCTGTTAAGGAATCTGTGTCTGTGGCTCCCAGAGCTGAGAGCCTAAACGTCTGTTGCTGAGGGTCACCAAGTCTGAGCCCTGGCAAACTAACACAGCAATAGATACAAAACCCTCACTTTTGCTACTTGGCTCACAAAGCTTAAATATCTGCTGACATTTGATATAGGGTGGATGAGAATTTAGATATAACTTCATGTGACAAGCAAATGTTATGACACCAACTTTTAAATTATTTGTACTGAAAAATAACTTTCTGCTGGGTGGTGGCGGCGCACGCCTGAAATCCCAACACTCAGGAAGCAGAGGCAGGCAGATTTCTGTGAGTTCGAGGCCAGCCTGGTCTACAAAGTGAGTTCTGGGACAGCCAGAGCTCTTACACAGAGAAACCCTGTCTCATAAAAACAAAAGTTAGAAAATTTTTGTTATAAAATCAATCTTTCTAAAAGTCACTTCTATTTCTATCATATTCAAGCATCTATTGTAACAACTGTTGGGTTTCTTTAGTTTGTGTTTGCTTATTTGTTAGAAGGACTTGATTTGTCTTTGGTTTTCAGAATTTTGTGTTTTTTCAAAGTCTCAAATTTTAGCCCAGACTGGCCTACAAGTTGCTATGAAGCCAAAGATGACTTTACATTCCTGCTTTCCCTACCTCTACCTCCCACACAGTAGGGTTATTGGGGTATGCCCCATGAAGGCTTCCTCCGTTCTCTTTAATGCTAGCAATCGTTGCCTAGCTGAAATCATTATAATTGCATTATAATGGAAAGGACGCTTTCATTCTATGCTGTCTTATACCTCCCATAAGAAGTCAGTTAAAACCAAAGAGGAAAAGCTTAGTGAAGCCCTATCTAACGGAACCCTTGAGTAACTGCACGCTAATTCTCTTAAACACTACCCAACTGCGCATCTCCTGTGGGACCAACAGTACACTGAAATATTATTTCCTTATTTCGACATACTGCTAAGAAGAGGATTATTGGATTCCTAGGAGTTCTGGGGGCTTCTCGGTCATTTCTAGCTACAATCCAATCTCATGGAGCAGCATGCCACTGAGCCTTGCTGAATAATATTGCTTAGTTTCCACCTCTGGTGTTGAAAAGGTTTAACATAGATGGGCTTTAAAGTATAGGGAAAAATAAGTGTTCCGTGTATGTACCTAGAAAAGATAAAAAGAATTTTCATTTAGTTAAAAAAGAGCCTCCAAAATACCGACGAGACTCAAAGAAATAAGACTCAATGCAAAGGAAACCAGCCCAATCACTTAACCGATGTGTCTCCCATTTACCTGAATCGGAAGTCCAACCTATTAGTCTGAGGTCTACATTTGATTATTTCCTGAGCCCCTGTCTTCGGGTTGCCTGTCTACAGTGAGTGTATTGGACCCATATTCTTACTGCCTCTGTTTCTCCCTTCCAACACAGACTCTCTCAATGCACACTTACTTTGGTGTACCATGAAAACAAGGGTGTGTCTTCAAACAGTTTTTTCATGTCCAAAGGGACAAAGAAAACATTGTCTATGGCTGAGAGCAGGGAGAAGGCTGGGTAGCTGGCGTTAGGGGTCAGCTGTGTGGCATTGCTGAGCTTTTTCATAAAGAAGATGATGGGCTGCTCGGGGTAGATTTTGGCAGCAGACTCCACAGCACAGGTGACCAGTGGAGGTGGCTCCACTCTTTCCGACGTCTCTATGAACACGATGCTTCGTCCACTGCGCAAGAGGCCATCCGGCCCCTGTGGAGATGTGAAGAGAGGCAGGCAGGCAAAGAAGCATTGAGACCTCAGGGTGAGTTGGTAGAGCAGGCCACAGGCAAACATCAGGACCAGCGACAGGGAGACATGGAGTTCCTTCAGCATGTCCTCCAGCTCTCCCAGCCTCTCTTTAAGCAACACAGTTCATCAGAATTCACCCTGGTGGTTCTAATAGAGGTAGCATGCAAGAAAATGAAGAAGACTATCACTTATTGATAAGATGAAAGACGTCTCAAGTGAAATATAATCAAGTCAAGCCTAGCAATATTATAAAAAATTCATCTTAGATTTAGATTTATATAGGAAGACAATTTAATATATATACTATCAGTGCACAAAGTGTCTTAACAGGAGAAAGGAAAGCAATCATCATTTTTACCAATCAATATTATTCTGACAAGTCTAACCAAGTCAATGAAACAAAAGAAAAAAATCACTAATATAAATAGTAAAAGAGTCCAAAGTATCACCAGTTTTCCAAACTATGACCACAGATAGAGAAAAATTGAATATAACATGTTCAAAAATTAACAGAATTCAGAAGAAAAATAACCAAAGCTCTAAACTGAACGTTAGAGGGTTACATTGTGAGCATAGTTCGCCAGCACTGGAGCTGTGACTCAAACCTGAATCACTTACCACCAAAGGCCAGGCTCCGGCTGTCACCACAGTGCCTCCCACCCTGCAGAAGGCTGCTTGAACTCAAGCTGACTCCAAGACAGCAGGGATCTTGATTCCTAAAAGGCCCATTTTTTTGCCTTCCATGTAACTCTGTCAGAAAACTCAAATCCAGGAGCCCAGAGCTCACTTACCAGTCAGAGACTCACAGTTCACCAGTCCTTGAGGTCTTAGAAGTGAGGACACGTTTTTCCTGTATACATTCTGATAACTCACTGCCCAATCTTCCAATTCAACCACACAGAGGGAAGTGAATCATTGGCAGAAGATTAAGACTAAACCCAAGAACTCCCCTAGGAAGCTCCTCCCTTCACTAGGCTCCTCCCCCTCCCCTGAAAGTAGGTGTGTGGGGATAACAGGAGCTCACGAGACTTTTCAGATGACCCCCACACTGGGCAAGCCTGCTTCAAGAGGATCCTCTCAGGTGGAGGAAGCTAGATGACAGCTGATGCTGGTGCCATCATGCACCTGCTCAGGTTAGCTTGAACCAAACTCATGGGCAGAGTCTTGGGAGAGGTTCTTTACCAGACCGTGTGTAAACTACCCAGATTTCTCCTTTGAGATCATGATTAAATGGTAATAGTTTGATGAAAAGAAGAGAAAGTCTGTTTGCACCATCAAAGCAGAGGACAAACTCCAGCATCCCAAAGGCCCGGGGATGTCCAATGAGAACGGATCCCCTGGTGTCTGCTACAACGGCTGCAGGAGGGGTCTTTTTTGCCTTGAGGTACCATTGTGGGCTAGGAGCCTCCTCTCACTCTCACAATGTCAGCTTGATCACCCTCAATTAAGGTGGGTTTCCCCAAAGGGTCTTCACCCTCCATGGTTGAGCTGCAAGGCCCCTAATGTGGGTATTCACCAAGCCTCTTCAAACTGTTCTTTGGACAGGCAGTGGTAGCCCTTAATCCCAGCACTCAGGAGGTAGAGGCAAGTGGATCTCTGAGTTTGAGTCCCGCCTGGTCTACAAACAGATCATGTTCCAGGACAGCCAGTGATACACAGAGAAACCCTGTCTCAGAAAAACCAAAAGAAAGGTAGGAAAGAAAGAAGGCGGGGGGGGGGGAAGGAGAGAGAGAGAGAAAGAGAGAGAGAGAGAGAGAGAGAGAGAGAGAGAGAGAGAGAGAGAGAAAAGAAAATGTTCTCTGCTCAGAGAATCACCTGTCCTCAGTCCAGAGCTTCCTCTTAAGCAAAAATAGGTTCCCCTAGATGCTGTAGTATAATCATGCTACTGGACAAACTGTGGATCCAGTCCTACATTAAGAGAGTTGGAGCTGTCCCATTTCTTGATATCGCTGGGTGGTGTGGGAAGTCCTTCTATCTATGTGTTGCTTTTATTGGTTAATGAATAAATCTGTTTCGGCCAGTGGCTTAGCAGAATAAAGCTAGGCAAGAAAACTAAACTGAATGCTGGGAGAAAAAAGGTAGAGTCAGAAACCTGGCAGTGGTGGCACACGCCTTTAATCCCAGCACTTGAGAGGCAGAGGCAGACAGATCTCTGTGAGTTTGAGACCAGCCTGGTCTACAAGAGCTAGTTCCAGGACAGGCTCCAAAGCTACAGTAAGAGCCTCGAGGTACAATATAAAATAATAAAAACGTGTTAATTTAAGATGTAAGAGTTAGCCAATAAGAAGCTAGAACTAATAAGTCAAGCAGTGATTCAATTACTATAGTTTCTGTGTGATTATTTTGGGGCTGGGCAGATGGGAATGAACGAATAGCCTCCCACCAACAACATCTGGGTTTCTTTTTCTGAGCATCCCCAGAACTAGCTCTTTGTTCTCCATGTGGTCCTCCTTTAGGAACTGGATTTCTTCTGTGGACCTGGTTAACTCTGGGCTCAAGGCAATCTGGCATCTTTTGAGAGTTCTAGAAGTTGAATAGATGTGGCTGTTCTTTCATACCAACGGGAGGAAAGATTAGTGGTCCTGCTGCCTGCTTGAGCCTAACTAGAGAGATGGCTTTGTGGAAGTGTTAGATTCCTTGTTCCTAACTGCTTGGGACTAACTTCCTTGGGACTAACTGCTTGTACATTGGCGTAAACAAATGAGCTAGTGGTCAAGGCAGAAAACGCCGACGTAGTTCGTGGTCTTTTCAGTGGGGCATGAGTGTGAGTTTGAGTGAGGCAATGAACTTTCAAGTGTCACAAGTAGGTCTTGCTGATTGAGCACCAGGTGGAGTGCTGCCTGCATCTGTCACAGTCCAAGAGCACCAGGCCAAGAACTAGGACCCCAAGAAGTGCAGAAAATAGCCTGCTTCAGGCTCACCGTGGCTTCCCATCAGGGAGAAGAGGAAAGACAAGGTCCATGAAGATGGAGTTGGGCAGAGTGGTGCCCACCCACGATTCCAGCACTGGAGGGGCTGAGGCAGGAGTATCGGGATCGGGAGTTCAGAGTCATCCACAGGCACATAGCAAGTTTGAGGCCAGTCTGAGATATATGCAATCCTGCCATCAAAATGAAGCAAAAGTTAATGTAGATGGTATTTGGATTCCTTGATAAAAACATAAAGCTGCTCACTTACCTGGGTAATTATTTTTAAATTTATGAATAAAATTTATAGCCCAGTGAACCTTTAAGGAGATAATCCTCACCCTATGTGAGTTGGTAGGTGTCCAAAAAGCAAATCACAGGTCTCCAGGAATGTTTAGGGTCACAGCTTGATGTCCTTCCCTGGTCTTCCTCAATCATCTGAATCACTCCACATGGAACTTCCAAGGATATGTAGACATCCTTTCTGGAGGGACCAATATGACTTCTTCCTTCTGCTACACCTCACTGGTTTCTGTCTAGTCAGGAGACTTCATGGACCCCCAGCATCCACAAAGATGAATTTCAGGAAACTATAATTTACATTGAACCTGGATGTCTCCCTACTTATCATTCCCACCACAAATAAAAAAATTGTTGCTCTTGACACTAGCCCCAAACTTCACAAGCAATCCCTAGAAACATCTAATTGGACTTCATTTTATCTGGTAGCCAGTAAATCCTATGGAGTGTGTGTGTGTGTGTGTGTGTGTGTGTGTGTGTCTTTCCAGGGACAGTTGTTCACTCAGCAATGGCGTAATGACTGGGCTCCTGTATATTCATCTGATGGAGATGAACAGAGAGCTGCTGACCTCTGCACAGCAGGTCTGTTGGAATATCCTGCTGAGAGTCACATATGGATCTGGGTAGCATCTGCTTTCTTAGGAACATCTATTTTCTTAGGAACATCTATTTTATGCAAAAGAATCCTTTCTCCACTAGAGTACAAGCCAAATCCAACAGACTATGAAGCCCAGGTAACAGTCTTGGTTGATGAAGTGTTGAGAGAGATAAATTCACCAACATACCAATTAAATAAACAAGATGGGAAATAAATTCTGAATATAGTGCTATTTCTATTTCTATTTATGAGGCTGTTTCTTGGATGTTGGGGCTTTTGGGGGGGCAAATCAGAAGGGAGCTTTTTCAATCCTTTGTACTTAGGCATACCCTTTGATAATGTCAGTTAGAAATAGTTCAGGATTTGGAGCAAAGCACTCTCTTGCATAAAGGACCCTCTGTATCAGGCCAGGAAAGTTAGAAGGATCTTTAACAGTAAATGTTTATTGACTTGAATTGAACCTAAAAAGTACACTTAGCCTTTCTGTAGCTTCTTTGAACTTGGGTTTATTGTGAAAAGGAAATACTTAAACCAGTAGCACTCGGCCTATTTGCTTTGGCCTTTACTGCCACAGTTCCGGTTTTTAATATATTTGTCAAACAAGTAGGACTGATAAACTTGTTAAAACATTCAGCTACAAGCAGCCCAAGACAAATTATCCAAGGTGATAGCTTGTCCACGTGGCCAATTCCTTTCCTCAAGCAAATAACGCCCCAAAAGGGCTCTGATTGGCTAGATGTGACTAGATGGAGAGATAGCTAGCCACGGGCCTCATCTCACTGCAGAGGGTCAAGCAACCAGGATAGTTCTTGGGAACCCATGAACAAATAATAAAAGAAGTAGCGCACACTTAAAAGTTATGATATCATTAAACCCTGAAAATATCATTTTAAACTAGAAGCCAGTGATTTAATGACATCACACTATGTAATTGCAAGCTATCTTAGACTCCCAGTAAAGTGGTCCTAATCTTTCTTTCTTTTTTGTTTGGTCATACCTAAATCAAACATGCCCCTATGTACAAAGCCTTGCACAGCTATTAAGCATGTTTCTTGGTTTGTTTTACTGTGATAATAGACGTGATTCCCCCCTGCCTTTAACATTTATCTGCAGATAAAAGCAACTTCTGGGAAGTGAGGTAAAATAAATGTTCTCGGTGAGCCACTCACATCCACTTTCTAAGGCTGTGTGGCCGAGCCCTCCGATCCAGAGTTGAATTCCATCTTCCACAAGAGAAATGGCGACATCGTAGACCTACCCACACCACCCACGTGGCACAGAACTGTCTGAGGGACTGAGCATATCTCAATACAACTGACAGAAGCTTACAGGCGACTCTTCTGTCACACCTTCACCCCAAATTTACCTAATCTCATGTGATGTATTTGGAGGTCAAACTTTCAGAGTAAATCAAAGATTCAGATTAAATCTCCCTCTTTTTAGCAAAAGGAACGAAATAACTTTCTTTGGAGTGGAATAATTACGCAGATTAAAGGAGAGCTGTATTGTGAATGCTGACAGCAGGCATGAGTTCCAGGGTATGGGCCAGATTAAGACCTTTGTAAGGAGACCAATCTCTATCACTCTTCCTCTCTTTCTGTCCTTCTCCCTCTCCTTCTCTCCCCTCTCTCCCTCCCTCCCTCCCTCCTCCCTCCCTCCCTCCCTCCCTCCCTCCCTCCCTCTCTCTCTCCCTCCCTCCCTCCCTCCCTCCCCTCCTAAGACATTGCTTTTCTGTCTGAGCTTTTGGTGAGTTTGCCTGAGAGCCAAGGCAAAGCTGGCAGCTTACTGGAGTGTGACTTAGCTGCTAAGGCTGCCTGTCTCACAAGCTCTGCGGAGATCCAGGACTGACACTTCAGCAAGTGTCACATAACACGGTGCTTGCAGCCTTGAACGAGAATCCCAGACATATTGTTCTGTTTCCTTTCTCCCACCAGCATCATTCTTTCTTCCTTCAGGGTGCATGTGTCATATGTGACATGTGTGTGCATGGAGGACATCCAGTGTCTTGCTCTATCACTCTCTGCCCTAGTCCCTTGCTCTGAGACAGGCTGGCAGGCAGCCAGCCAGCATCAGTGATCTTCCTGTCTCCATCCCATGGCACTTGGGTTA